ACCCTGAACACTGAACTCCAAACCCAAAGCCCTAAACCAAAATCCCGAAACATCCCCACGCCCTGAACCTGAAGCCCCAAACCATCCCAAACCAGAAAACCCCCAAACCCGAAGCCCGAAAACCTCAAACCCTAGGCCCTAAACCCTAAACCCTAAACCCTAAACCCTAGACCCTAAACCCCCTGAATCCTCTAGACCCTATAAGCCCTAAAGCCCGAACCCGATAAGGCACGGCTCCCGGCTGATGTATACGACTTGGATACGTCCCGGGTCTTCCGTCCTGGAAGTTGGAGCACGGTCCCTTGGCTTAGGGTTTAGGGTTTAGGGTTTAGGGTTTAGGGTTTAGGGTTTAGGGTTTAGGGTTTAGGGTTTCGGGTTGCAAGAGGGTTCAGGGCTCAGGGCGGTTTGAGCATGTGTTTAAAGAGCCTCTTCGAGGTTCAGGGATCCTGAGATACCTTATTCCTACATGAGTTTGGGCGTCCTTCAATTACAGCCCAAAACCCTAAAGCCCTAAACCCTGAAACCCTGAAACCCTGAAGCCCGAAACCCTAAAGCCCTAAACCCTGAAACCCTTAAGCCCTAAACCCTATAACCCCTAAACCCTGAACCTGAACCCTAAACCCTAAACCGTAAATCCTGAGCTCAGGTATGGTCAAACGACCTGCTTGCTGTCCAAGCTCCTACAGCCAGACTCCACCGGCGCCAGGTACCCGAAAGCCACAAACCCTGAAGCCCTAATGCCCTCAGCCCAAAAACCCTAATGCCCTAAACCCTAAAACCCTAAAAGCCTAAGCCCGAAAACCCTAAGCAACCCTAAAGCCCGAAACCCTAAAACCCTGAAGCCCGAAAGCCCTAAACCCAACCGGCGCCAGGTTGCATGCTTCGGATGCTGACCCTCAAGTCTCTTGGATAGCCAATGGGAGAACTTTAAACCTTTTGGCCTTATGTAATAGGTCTATCCTATAAACCCTAAACCCTTAACCCTGAACCCTGAACCCTAAACCCTAAACCCTAAACCCTAACTTTTTCGGGCCTGGTCCTTGAAGAAGAGAGGTCTGGGATGTGCTGGAAGGGAACCTCAATCACCACGGCTGCCATGCGACAGTTCCTCAGTCATCAGATTCGTTTACGGTCCGTGTTTGGGGTTTAGGGTTTAGGGTCCAGGGCCGAGGGTTTAGGGTTTAGGGTTTAGGGTTTAGGGTTTGTCTCTTGCGCTGTTTCCTCGACGTGCTGCCTTCTGTATCAACATGAGGTGGTTCGCGGCCCTATTGGGACGAGCAGCCTGAAGTTCCAAATCCACAACTACGGCAGTCGCACAGTAAGCCTCGATGATCCTCGACCGGGTGTGGTGGTTCCCGCGCACAGCCTCCGGTCTCTGAACGCTACGTTTGACACTCTGGCCATTGACTGTGACTGGGTGCTTGTTAAGGAAGTTAGTCTAAGTTACCACAACAAGGAAAGCAGAGGATTCACTGTATAGGCCTAGCGGCCTAGAGTTGTAAGTGCTGTTCGATTTCGTTACAAGTCTAGACACCCCATCTAAATCCCCAAAACCCTAAACCCTAAACCCTAGACCCTAAACCCTAAACCCTAAACCGTAAATCCCTAAATCCCTAAATCCCTAAATCCCCTAAACCCTAATTCCTGCACCCTAAACCCTAAACCCTAAACCCTAAACCCTAAACCCTAAATCCCTAAATCCCCTAAA